TTTGTTTGTTTGCTTGTTTCTTTGTTTCTTTGTTTGTTTGTTTGTTTCTTTGATGTTTGTTTGTTTGTTTCTTTGTTTGTTTGTTTGTTTGTTTGCTTGCTTGCTTGCTTGTTTGTTTGCTTGCTTGCTTGCTTGCTTGCTTGCTTGCTTGCTTGCTTGCTTGCCTTGCTTGCTTGCTTGCTTGCTTGCTTGCTTGCTTGCTTGCTTGTTTCTTTGTTTCTTTGTTTGTTTGCTTTGTTTGTTTGGTTTGTTTCTTTGTTTGTTGCTTGTTTGTTGCTTGTTTGCTTGCTTGCTTGCTTGCTTGCTTGCTTGCTTGCTTGCTTGCTTGCTTGCTTGCTTGCTTGTTTCTTTGTTTCTTTGTTTGTTTGCTTGTTTCTTTGATTCTTTGTTTGTTTGCTTGTTTCTTTGTTTCTTTGTTTGTTTGCTTGTTTCTTTGTTTCTTTGTTTGCTTGGGACATACTACATTTTTTTTCTAAAAAAACAATCAAACATGAAAACAAACAAGCAGCACAAAGACCGTTTTTCTTAAACCAAACATGAGAACAAACAAGCAGCACAAAGACCTTTTTTTCTCTCCAACAACAACCCGCCATTGGGTTGGGTTCTTATTAAACAAGCCATTGGGTTGGGTTTTTGAGGAACCCTGAACACGAGCTCCCCACGTGGGAATCACTCGGGCCCCACCCCGGAAATGGTTCTGAGAGCCCTTCTTTTGGAACTCCGGTAAGGTTTAGAGAACCAACAGCCTAGTGTCCTTTTTGGTTGTTTCGGTCGAACATAGCTGGCCCTGGCTAACCTGGTGGTGTCATCTACCAGGGCCATTTATTTTCCCAAACGGACGCCTATGTTAAGAATTCCCTTGGATTGGGTTGCCCATTCGGTTTTGGGAGGAGTGCCTCACAGCCGCGCCCACGGGTGCCCACTCCAAGTGCATGCGGGAGTCGGTGATGGAGCAGAAGGCGCAAGTTTGGAACCCGAGCGGTACCTCACTTGCCGAGTTGGACTTTTGTCACCTTTTGGGTTTGGATCATTTCGGTGGTAAACCAATAGCTTGGCTACTTTGTTTGGCCAATCCACTCAGGTGAGGATAGGTTGCCTGATGGTTGCAAAATCCGGACACTGCAGGTGTAAAAGCTGTCAAAGTTGCTGAGGTGTTTAAAAACGGGTTGGTCCCTTGGTTTCCTTTGACATCCAAAAGAAAAGTCTCTGAATTTGGGACTTGCTTTTTTCCCCAACAGCTGAAAGCTTTGGGGTCTCAGCCCAGATAGGCTCCGGGGTGGTCTGGGGCGGCCCAGAAGTAAGGTTCCACGAGGGTTCCACCAGGGTTCCACCAGGGTCCACCAGGGTTCCACCAGCGTTCCACCAGAGTTCCACGAGGGTTCCACGAGGTTCTGCGAGGGCTGCGGGGTGGTGCGAGCACTAAAACGAGCACCGCGTGCTGTTGGGGATATCACCTGAGCTTTTTGTTTTGCTCTCTCTCTCTCTCTCTCTCTCTCTCTCTCTCTCTCTCTCTCTCTCTCTGTCTGGGGACAAACATCTCCGGGCGCGCGAGATGGTGTGCTCGCTCTCTGGGCCTTTGGTTCACAAAACCCTGGCAGCATGCGGGTTTCGGAAAGGAGCGGGTGAACAAAGATGGGGGAACCACGTGTTTAAACGCTTGAAAGAAGCCACCATAATCTCAGCATCCGAGGAGCGAAAATCCACGCTTTGGTGGCAGGGTCGCTTTAAGCAGTTCTAAGCGGGTTCTGGTCAACGGGTTCTAGAAACCGCACCAAAGGACAATAATATATTTAGCATCCCAAAATGGTAGAACCCATTTGGGTGTGCGTTTATTGGAGGGTACCCTTGCAGCATAGTTTGAAGGGAAATTTGAAGGAAAGCCGACCTAAATAATCCAGCAAATCGCGGAGATCAATTCGGTGGGAGATTTCAAAGGACCGGTTGAAAGAAACCGGTTGAAACAACCCAAACGGACACACGTATTTGAGAAAACTGCGGTTGAAAGAAACCAGGTTGACAGAATCCAACTGAACATCATTTGGGCGTGTCTTCTTTAGGCCTTCCCCCCCAAGAACAAGAAGGGTGGTTTTCCTTGTGGTTTCCCTCGAATAACCACAAAAGAAAGCAACTCAAGAAAACGACAGACCCATGTCAGAGAAATCGGTTGGAAGAAGCCGCCGGAATGCCCCCGAGTTCCACCTCCCAAGCCCTGCAGGTCACTTGGCCGGAGATCCGGACAATGATCGCCCCTGGGATTCATAGCCGAAGGTTCCCAGTGCTGCCAGGTACTGTGCTGGGCAAACCGTTTTTTGTTTTTTTTTGTTTTTTGTTCTTCTTTTGGTTTTAAAGAGCTTTAAACACATGGTAGCTGGAAGCGCATGGGACAAGCGGTTCAGTAGAGGCAGGATTGAACTGGGGTGGCACGTTTTCGCCCTTGGATTTTTTTCCGGGCTTTGGGACGACTTTTTTGACTGTGACGGATTTGAGCAGCGCCCGAGACCCTTATTGGATATTTGAGCGACATATTCTACTGCCTGGCTTGATTGGAGCTAACACATTTCCTATAACAACAATCTTTATAACCGTGTTAGTAGAACCACAAGTCAATGGGTTTTGGGCAACGCTCATTTGTTCATTCGGTGCGGGCAGGGCAAACACGTGGTGACTTGCTTCACACCATGACTGGGCTGTTGTCTGTAAATGAGCCACAATCAACCCGGGTAGATGAAGGATAGTAAGGAGCCACACATTCACACATCATATTCTTGCGATCGCAGCTCAAGTGTGGTTTCAAAGTACCCCCACGACCCTGTTCTAACTGTCTAAGTTGCAGTGACCCAAAACCTTTTTTATGCCCGAAACTCTTGGACCCCTTTTTCCCTCCCCGCAAAACCAGGCGGACATTCCCCGGTTTTTCCGCCATTTCCGGGCGGACCTTCCCCCAAAACCCGGGCGCCTTGGCGAGGAGCGGGTCACCGCGGACGCGGAGGCCAACTCCCTGCGGATGCTGCGGACCTTCCACGTGACGGTGCTCAAAGGCTCCGGCCACTTCCTGGAGCCCCGGCGGGTTTTTGAAGCCCGCGGGTGGGAGGGAGGTGGAGACAGGGGGAGAGGCGGGGTGGAAGAGGTGGGGTGGGGTTGGGTGGGAGGGGGGGGGGAAGAGGTGGGGTGGAGGGGGGGGGTTGGGTGGGCGGGTGGGGTGCGGGTGGGGTGCGGGTGGGGTGGAGTGGGGTGGAGTGGGGTGGGCAAAACGGCCCTCCAAAGGGGCGGTTGATTGGAGAACCATTTTTTTCTTTGGGGGGGGAGGTCTCAGGAGATGTTTGGGGCTCGCCTGTTTTGATGACACACGCACAAACACGACGGTGGGGCCCGAAGAGGTCCTATGATCTTTCAACGCCAATCAAACCTCCCCTAAGAACATCCATGACACACACCCAGTTCAACAGTTCAACAGGAGTTGTTTCCAATTCTGTGCTTGTTTTGGTAGGCGCTGTGCAAACGCTTTTGGGTGTGGAAAAAACTGGTCCAACCAACTTCTCGTCGCCTCTCAATTCTTATGACCCGGCACGTTTTGGCGACCAAAGATAGGAGGCCCGCCGAGATTTCAACCGCGTGCAGAGCCACGCCCAAACAAGCCTGATGAAAACTGCGTCCTGCGCACAAACAGCTGCGTAGCATGTGACCTGATGCAAAAAAGCAATGAGACTGCATTTCAATGAAATATGATCGCCCGTCGGGCGGCGGTGCGTCCCAATGAGTGTAGTGCACTTCCTTCCAACTCTATGAATGTCGAACACGTCCAGGAGAACTCAATGGTGGCTATGTTACCACAATTGTTTCAATGGTGGTTTGAATCCCCCCCACCCCAAACCAACCCCCAATGTTGCAATGGTGATTGGTGGTTTCAATCCAATCCCAGGGTTTTCCCATGGTTTGAATACAACAGGGCCGTTTCAGGACAGAATGGTGAATGGTGAATGCTTTGATGATGCATGGTGAATAGTTTCGTGTTTAGCGTACACAAATCCCTGATATGTTCAACATCTCAGATTGCCAGAGGGCTGTTCCACACAAGTGAAGCATATAGGGCTGTTGTGGTGGTGGTGCACCTCCCCCCAACCGAGGCCTCTGAATTTCGCATTCATTCCCTGGGGTCGTTGCGGGAGGTCCCCTGCATGGTGGAAGGGTGTGCTAGGTGCACAGAGATGCGTGGGGGGTTCCAGTTCCCGTGGCTCGGGACATGGACCAAACGCGCAGTCCTGGTTCAAGCGGAGGTTGGCCCGGAGGCAGCTTGGGACCTTTACTATGCGGGCCGGGACTACTTGGATGAGGATCAGCTTCGGGCCGTTGACTCGGGCATGCGAGTGCAGCAGCTGGTCCCCGAGCACATGGCGCGCTTCATCGGCTACGTGGAGTTGGCCGGCCTTGAGGAGTGTGGCCTCGATCGGGAGGCCGTCTTCTGGGCGTGGAGGAGGTGGCAGGCAGGCCGGGTCTCTTGGCGAGAGCCGGCGTATGAGCCGATCCCCTCCAGCGACTGGGAGAGTCGCGATGGGGCCACTGCTTGGGCCGGGAAGGCTCTGGGCCACTGGCTGGGTTTGCAGCGGGAGAGCGTGTTTTTCCCCCCCCTTGCATGCGGTGTGGTGCCCTCACACGGCACGTCATCCGGGACAGTCCGATCTGCGAGGAATGCCTCAGCCATTTGGTCTCTCTGGGGGATCCTTAGCGCCATGGCAGCTGTACCGACCGGGATCTACGCTCGCCTGGCGGGGGACGCCGGGGGGCAGTGGGACCCGGAGTCGGCTTTGGGTGCGGTGGGCGCCCAGCACACCGCGAGGTGGAGGCGCGAGCACGGGCTGCAGAATGATGCGGACTTTGCGTTCGCCTTCCACTCGTTTGAGGAGGCGCTGACTACTGGCGGCAGGGACCTGGCCAATTCGTGGGTGCGGGTGCGTAGCGCCCAGGAGTCCGAGCTGCTGCCGGCTGCGGCTGATGTGGTGGAGGGTGAGAGCCGGGGGACGGCTGTTCACCTTCCTTTTCGGCCTCTGGCCCCTCGGCCTTCGAGGGCTCCGGCGGTACGCCTTCGTGCAGTTCAAGACGAACCGGAGGCGATCACGATGCAGGTCCAGCGGCTCGGCGAGGCACTGCAGGACATGGGGGCGATGAAGCCGACAGGAGTCCTGACGGAGCAGCTGCGGCGCGAGTGGAGAGGATCATGTACTCGTTTGGCGCAGCGGTTGGTGACGGAGGCGGAAAGGGCCACGGTGTTGAATGCCTTGCGCACATGGGGTGAGGTGATCACCTTCATGCAGGCGCGTTCTCGCCCGCTGCCGCCGGAAGTGGTCGACCTTGATGTTTTCCTCCACGAAGGAACAGCTGCCCCGGCCCGTGCTACCCAATCACTGCGCTGGCTCACCAAGCAGGCGAGGGTGGATCTGGGGTTGAGCATGCTCACGCCACCTGCGGGACAGGCGCGTCGGGCAGGGCCCAGGGGGCAGGCAGCCGTGGTGGAACCGGTGATGCTGCTGAAGATGGAGCAGCGGATGGAGGAGCTCTACACGCAGGGCGACGATCGCTGGCAAGCGTTGCTGGCGGCATGGATGCTCTATGGAGGAGTTCTACGCCACAAGCACCTCACTCGGGCGGAGGTGCGGAAGGTAACCATGTCGACGGTCCATGCGCACTGCATCAAAGGGAAGCAACGGCGACTGCGCAAGGGCTTCGACTTCTGCGTGCCCGGACAGCTGTCAACCGGGTGGGACTGGTCGGCGGCCTGGCTCCATGACTTTGCCCTGGTGCCGGAGAAGCAGAAGGCAGACTGCGGGCTGGCGTTCCGTCGGGAGGTCCCGTGGTCGCTGTCCGATGTTTACCGGATGGTCCGGCACGAGTTTGCGGACTTGGTGGAGAACCCGGCGATGGTTTCGTCGTACTCGTTCAGGCGGGTTGGTACAACGGTGGGCCAACTGGTGGGGTTTAGCGCCCTCGACATGGCAGCGTTGGGCGACTGGCAGACCAAAGCCGACGTCCCGGAGGATGCTCGCATGCCATTGCACTACAGCGGGGCCAAGTACGCGGCGTCCTTGTTGGCCAAGCACAGGATGGTGGGAGCGGTTGCGGCTCTGACCCACCACGAGTCCTGGGAGTTGGTTCCGCCGGCGGAGGTTCAGGAGGCGGCCCAGGCTGGCCAGGCGGCGGCAGCCCAAGCCAAGGCGCGGGACGCCCAGGTGGTGTGGGCGGCCCCCCCACGCCCCAAGGAGCTTCAGAAGCGCTTCGCCCTGACGCAGAAGCTTAAGCGGATAGCCAAAGCCAAGGCAGAAGCAGCTAAGCCAGCAACCACGATGCCGGCCTCGCTCAACGGCCGGCGCCTGACCGCAGTGATGCGTGATGGCAAGAGGCTATGCCCGGCGTTCCAGGCGGGGCAGTGCCCCGGGGAGCGAGTGTGCGGGTTTGCACACCTTTGTATGCGTCCGCTTGACGGGGAGAGCCTGCGGAGGGAAGCATGCAGCGGGCGTGTGCCGGGTGACGAAGGTGGTCATGGTGGAGGACCCGGAGGCGTCCATCCCGGCCCGGCCGTCAGGGGCCGCGAGCAGTGGCTCGGCTTGTGCCGAAGCGATGATGCTGTCGCCCAAGATCAAGGCGGTGCCCCAGAAGCGGCCGCCAGAGCCGAGCGGCCCTGGTGAGAAGCGGAGGAGGCGTGACGCCTGGCCCGAGGGTGCCCGTCACAGCTTCGCGTCCGGCGGCTGTGCTCCCTGTGGCCCAGGGGGACCAGCTGTTTGATGCCCTTGCGGAGGAACGCGCTGCGCAGGTGGCTACGTGCATTTACCAGAATGCGAAGGGTGGCCGTCTGTGGTTGTCCGGACTCCCGAAGCAGGTGGAGGCGCCCAACTTCCCGCCCGTGACTCTGCAGATCATCTGCCTCCCGAGCAGCCCGGAGAGCCGGGGGGGTGTGACATTGCCGGGGGCGTTCCCGGTGTACATGAAGCCACGGGACCGCACGGAGGGCTGGAAGAACATGTGGGCCGTGCTGCAGCAGACGTTGGCGGCTGGTGAACAGGCTCTTGTGCACTGCATGGCGGGCCGGCACCGGGCCGCGGCAATGGGCATCCTGGCCCGTGCAGTCTTGACCCGGGAGACCATCTCGGAGTCGGAGGCGTGGATTCGTGCCCGCAGAAGCATCGAGTACAGCAAGATCGCCCGCGACAAGGACACCGGGATGTGGGTGGAGCGAATGCGGCAGGAAACGAGGGTGGGACCCTCGTGGCCTTTGCCGGTGGGCTACGTGACCACGGTGCGCTCGAACATCCACCTGCGCATGATGAACGATGCGCCGCTGTGCAGCCACAAGCAGGCGCGCTCTGGTGCTGGGCGCTTGAGGGATCCGATCCTGTGCGACACCTGGGAGGAGGCGTCAGCGTGGGGGCGGACTTTGTGCCACCTTTGCCAGGTGCGAGCTCCAGCTGGGTGGCGGCGCAGTGAGTAGACTATGGCTGATGTTTTGCGGTTTTGCCTTGTAGCGCCCCGGCGCATCCAAATAAGCTTGGGTCCCCATTTTGCACGGGCCTCAGCCTGTGCCGACGGGCCCGACTCTGCTGAGAGCGAGGAGAAAGTCGATGTTGAGGACGAACTGTTTTAACCCCAGAACCTCTGAGGCCCCCCCCAGTGGAAGGGCGAGTGACAGTCCCCCGCAAGTGATGCTCCATGGCTTGACTCCACTGTACCTGCACTGTCATGTGGGTTTCCGTGGGAGACAGGGAGGGAAGTCGGTCATGGGACGGGGTCTGCCTCAGCCCATTTCGTATTGCAGGACTAGATCCGGCGTTGACAGCCAGGCCGGGGAGTGACCCCGGCGGCAATGGCAAGTTTGGGGTTGGTGCCTCCACCTGGGAAGACCATTGAGGAAACCCTTGGGGCCCTGGCAATCAACTTCGATTTGGAGCAATCGGTCGTCCAAGCCCTCCTCAAACACAAGATTGCCAACCTGGAAGAATTTCGGTTTTTCTTCGACTCGGAGGCACAGGTAGAAACCTTCCTGGGCAAACTGAATCTGGGAGATGATCG